TATACGAACTATGTCATTGGTCCATGCTTACTGTCCACAGAATTTGGACTCAGCTGACCAATTTTAAAATAAGAACAACAAACTTTTAGTTTGAAAATTATAATTATTGTATTGGCAACGAAATTTACTCAAATACTAATAAAGTATGAAGCTATAATAATCTTAGAAAAACAAGAAATATATTCATGTGTAGGTATACATAATAATATACTGTATAAGTATACGCCTAAACTGGCGTAAAGCTTGATACAGTAGGAATGTGTTCCCAATTTTTTTATCTATTACTATATAATATAATATACATCTATTACTACATAAACTATGTAGTTACAAGTCAACGAATGTCTTAATGTGAATTTAAAATGTAATGAATACGTATACGAAACTACATATCTGTTACATTTATGACTTCCAACGTATTTGGTACTAAGTGCCATAATTATAATTTAAATACCAAAAATGGAAGAGAACAAATTGAGAGCAGATTATGTTTGGCAAATAAGGTTTTGTTACATCAGTTTTGTGAATAATTAAGCAGTAAAAGTTAATAAGTATTACTCACGATGTAATGAAAATTAATTGCTTGTATACTTTTACAGTATTTTGGGCAAGAAACGTTTGATTAAACAAGACACAAGTATTATTATACGAATAAGACTTTACGATAATCCATAAAGCTTATTGACTCGAATACTATGGGCGACGATAAAGTGGCAAGCTTTTCTGCTTACCTAATTTGTATCTAATTAAACAATAATCCACTAATTGCATAAAGTTCTAGGTTTTGAAGTCTACTTTGAGTTTTAAAAAGCACTAAAAAACCACTATTTACGTGACAGACTTACTTTCTCTCAATAAAAAGCATAAACATATAAATATTTACAACAAAAAAAAAACACGCGAATGAAACATATACCTATGTGAGTACACAATCAACAAAAGAAATAGTAATGTAACAGTACAATAAAACTATAAAAAATCGAACATAATATTATTTGATGAAATAACACCTATCTATCAACTCGATAAAATACAGAAGAGCATCCCATTTGTCTTTAGTAAATAACAATTACCTGTTACGATGGCGAGTCAACAAACTATCAAACGATTACATCATGGCGCGTGCTATCCAGATGTGAAACAAACAGGGTTGCCTGTGTGTATCCTTTGATAGCATTAATAACTACAATGAACGAAGATTGTATTGTAAATTTGTCATATAAAAATTATCAAAGACTTAGGTTTATTTGGTTGCTTGAAATCTGTAATAGTATAAGGCACATCTGAGAATAGAATAAAATATATTTATAAGTAAAATATATAACAAGAACGCTATGAGAAATTATTTCTGTGTTTGAGATGACTCCAAAGAAGTAATATGTTCTGTTTCTTTACTGCAAGAACAAATATAATATTAACTCTTTTAAATAAATCAATTTCAAATCACCGTAAAGTTATAGGAATTATATTTAACAAGTGTGTAGATTTTGAATTCAGACCTTAAGACAAAACATATTAATTAAAAATTGCATTGTGGAACAATATCCTCTATGTATTTATAATCTTGAATTCTTATTAAAAGTGGATAAATAATTTAGTTCTCCAGACGTTTATGTACAACCCTAAATGTACCGTAGTAATTGCGCCTGCCCGGGGATGCCTTCACGTATGTAAAAAGAAAATAAAAGTGTAAACCTGTTCCGCTAAGAGACTCCCGTAATGACTAGCTCTAGCGGGCTAGCGGGACTCACTCGACTCGATATCGATAGCGAACATCGATAGAAAAATCGTCACGATTATACGTTAGCGAATTTGTGCCCTATACACATAACCTTTGAACTTTTTTTATGATAAATGTAATCTGAATAATTGCTCTATTTAACGTCAAAAGGTATGCGGAAATTATTACCGTATTGTAATTTACAAATGTCGTTTATATATTACAAGTTTCTATTTACCATAAGTAATTACATACTACGTAGGTACTCAAATATTGACTTGCATAATTACACATGTTAAATATTAGGCAAATTGTTACGTACAGTTTTTTTTTGAGACCACCACTTATTGCTGACTATATACGTGAAATGTCAAAACTATGAAACAAATTACGAGCAACGCACGTTCTTTACTATATTTTTCTTCATACATTTGTATAAAAACCTACTCGTTAATGTGTCCCATTTAAATTTAAAACCTACAATCATAATCTGAACGTCTATTTAAACACAACCAATCATCCACTGTTACATTTATTCACCCATTCGATAAAGAAATCGATTCGAAATCGATAAGTTCCCGATCGCAACACTTGTCTCTCAAGCATTCAACTCTCAATATGGGTCAGCGTGCTGTAAACGGGTCCTGTGACGTCTACAGGTGCAACGTTTTATGATCAGTCTTTACGATGTATTATATCAGAAGTACGCATTTTATGCTTCAAATTATTATATCAGTACTTTTAGTAAGTGTTTATGGAAACTTACAATGGCTATATTCCTTTCACAAAAAATTAAGCTAAATTCTTTTGAAAAAATTGGATAGACCGATGTTTCAGAGCAGTTACATTAAGAGACACAATGGTAAGGTCCTTAATATTTAAAAAATAACAAGATAAATATTAGAAACGATAAGGTATGAAACAACACAACTTGAATTCAATATAGAACATTCAACCACTGCAGACCAAGCACGCGACTCGTTCAACGACTGGACAAGAATGCCATAGCACGTGCCTAGCATTCGATAAAAGTTAACAGTAGTTTGTTTACAAATATTTTATGAGGAAAACAGGTCAATTTAGGGCTAAATATTTTAACATTTTTAACTAATTTATCATAAATATCAAGAAATTTATAATACTTCACATACTCGTACAATGTCACCGCCATTTTGAAAAAAGCGCGCGAAGTTAGTTCGTTTTGACACTTCATTTTCATTTGTTTTTTTTTTATTATATGAACTTTGGTATTGTATTCAAAGAGTTTGAATATATCATACATTTTATCATATCGAAACGATCGAGATATAAATCGACACGAATCGATAACATGGAACGCATTTCCCTCTGTTATTCGGAGCGTTGCGTGTGCCGTATTTCAGAATCTCTCGAGATCGGACAACAAACGTATCTAGATCGGATGTCGTAACAGGCATTGCGATATTTATTTAGAGCAATGTAAATCAAGTGTGAAAGTACTGACCCACTGACTGAACGAACTTAAGTCTCGTATAGACGTTATATATAGATAGATAGTTATAAACATTAACTTTACATAAGATACGAGTAAGCAGGAAGGCTTTGAATGCTCTTGTTAATAGAGTTTAATGTTACAATGAAAAGCTATTACTTAAAGTGAAGGAAACTGAGAAAAAGTAAATACTTATAACTTCAAAATACTTTATACGGTCCAAACTGAGTACCTTTGATAACCATTAATCAAACGCAATAAACATAAAACAGTACTTACGTTAAAATAATAAAACCTACACTAAAAGTTAAATTGCATCTTAAATGATACGAAATAACTTTAAAATTAGAGAAAATCGTCTAAAGAAAACTTCTTAACTTTCGACTTTCCAGCAATTGGTTTTAATAGACTCTAAAACAAATGTGGGCTATTATATGAGTTTATCCGATATTGCACGATAAAGTAAAGAAAGTGCATAAACGATAAATTGCTAACAATCCATATCACATTCAAGTGATTGGTTCTAAGAGTTCCATAGAAATTGTGTAGAAAAAATTCTACTTATATCGACGTCATTTTGCAACGAATGATTTGATAGATTCCATAACTGCAGTACTTAGTCAAGAAAATGTTTAAATGAAAACTTCAACTAAAATAAAGGACGAGCTCAAATCTCAAGCCTCAAGCCCGATTAAAACAAACATGGTGGGTATCAAATGAATGGGAGGAACAGACGGAGGCGATCGTTAGACACGGAGTGCGAGCCCCAATGTCGAATCCAATGCCACACATTGTGAGCTGTCGGAAGGAAGCAAACGAACCGACGCTTTGTGTACTGTTAAGAACCTACGATAAGATGGTGGGATGTGTTGTTGGAGAAATTAGTCTTTTGTAGTGGTTTTAAGATTTACTTTGAGATCGTTTTTGTTTTAATGTTTTGAGACGACATCCAATATAAAAAAGCGAATGACGAAGAAACAGTAAGTGCATCTATAGCTGCATTAATGATGATGGTAAAAAAACAAACGATGAAGAAAAAAATGTTGATGAATGTAATATATTTTTAGATGATGAAAAATAAATATAACCAATATAAACTTACAATCCAATTAATAAACAAAACATTGACGTTGTAAAAGTAACATCTAAAAAAATACTATAAGTACGACTTTATAAAAAAAATATTCCACGTAACCAAGTTCCGCTTTATTGAAGTGTTAGAAAAAAAAACAGATTAACTTGTTGAACTTTTATCTTTGTACGCAAAGTACTTGGCTGATTAAACATATGTGTGACAATTAATCACGCTCCTCTGAATACAAATGTTGATTATAAGCATAAATTGACATTTAAACAAGACTGTATCTTCTTAATAGGCTGTCATTATCTATGAATGGACATCAATAAGGAATAATATGTCTACAAACATGAATGCCAATATTAGCTTTCGCCACACCTCGTGTTTCATAACAGTGTTATGTATAATTGTATTCTTCGATAGAAAGTTTGACAATAGTATCAATTGTATCACCAATCATAATACTTTATGTTATAAAGAATTAGTTCCGTTTCATTTAAAAGAAACTAAAAGACGTCTCAGTATACATAATCTGCTGGTCAATTTAGCTTTTTGAATGATTCCATTCTATTTTTAATTTATGTGTAAAAATACTTTGGTTGGAGCATTTCAAACATTATTTGCATAAATATTTATTATTTAAACGGAGCCAAAATGTTATTCGCTAAAGGCTATTGTTTTAATTACCTATTTTTTTGATAAAATGTAATGAATGTTTTTCCTTGTTTCAGCCTAATCCCGTTTGAGACGGCAGTGGGTGGCGAGATGGTGTCTCGACGTCGAATACTTTCGCGTTCCCGCGACGACCTAACACAGGCGTTCGCAGCGCCCGTAGAAGAAGAAGAGGATGTATGGTATCAAAAAGATAAACTTTATAAGGTAAGATTTCTTAATCTTTTTTTCTTAAATTAGGTTTGACCTAGAATCGTACCCTGAGGTACTCTATGCTGGTTCAAAGATATTTCTCTTCTAGCTATATAATTGCTATAATTTTTACTAGAGTAACAATTTTAAATAAATTTATTACTTAATATTGATTGAGTTGCCCTTTATTTGGTCCTATATAAATATTAGTTTCATTGCCTTAAAGCGTTTGAATTTCATAGCGTCATTCTGAAGATGTTACGAACGTGAGGTGGCAGCGCCTGTTGAAACGTGCTTGACTGTTTCCTCACTATTGCAATGTGAAATTTGAATAATAATAATATGATAAATTGACTATCGCAAGGCATAAGCTAACGCAATTAATTAAATCAGAAAAAAGAACACACGATTAAAAGAGTAAATAGTTCTAATTCAATTGTAGTTACCGAATCAAAAAGAGTAGAAGAAACGATATTTTTTCTCAAGTATCCTAAAAACGTAACCTCCAGCAATTTATAGGCATCAAACCATTTCCTGCCATTGTATCAAAGGCTAATGAGCAGGCAATCAAATCATAATAGGCTGACGATACCCAAATTGGTATTTAAACTTTCTATGCATCAATCACGAGGTCGTCGAGCCGATGTAAGTAATGTTCACGGCTCAGTTCACACAGTCACTGCTATAATAGTAGTGAATGACAGATCATAGGAGAAACCATTATGACAATTTGTCAAAGTGAAATCTTTGACTTTCCACAAATTAGTCCTATACGTGTGTCCACTTATACCATCGTAAGTGATATTGAGAGAAATTGTTTTACATTATTGGTGATATACTTATCGATGTGAGACAAGTACAAATGCTCTTAACCATTTCAATTGTTTTTTCTTTAGACTTAGTTTTTACGTGTCTTGGATAATTTTCATTCTCACTACAATTGTGGTTAGTAATCCCTGTGAAAGCATCTGGCCCTTCTAACACAATTTCATCTTACACAATAGGGACAAATTGAAATTAATTAACTTCATTTGCAACTTAAACACTACTATCTCCCATAGTTGTTCCGCGTACATATTACGTTTTCCTTTTCTTTGTCTTTGGTTACGTTTTTGTAATCGTTTCCGACTGCTCACAGTTATTAAGGACGTGAGAACACGCCGTACTATATACTATATCTGACACTTACCACGTTTCATTTAGCTTCAACATTGCAAACGATAGCATCGCTATTTCGATATCCATCGACAGCTGAGAAAAGATAACATTCATACGTGCACTAAATTCAGTAGCATTGTATTGAAATTGGTTTGATTGTGCAGTGACGTAACAGTCACACAATAGTGTCTCGATTGACTCTCACAATGTTGTTTGTTCGACGCCACCATTTATAGTTTTTGTAAAGGCTTTCGCGGATATAATATCTGCGGTTGACAGTGAAAGCCTAGAATCACGAACGCCACATTCAATCAAAACATTGCATTATTGATAGATTTTTCTATTGATTCCTGTGGTTGTGGCAGAAAATTTATTTTCCATTTTATCTTTTCAAAGCGATTTCAATACTGATACTGATATAGTGGTATATTCAAATAATGTTTTTCTCTAAACTTTATAACAACACACTGTGTGATAACAATATTTTGTGTAAACTAAATCAGTAGAACAAATCAACAATAGTTATCTTTAGTCCCTGAGATTCTCTCTCAGAATTCCGTTGTTTCTTTAGTTACGCCATGGACAATTAATTATGTAATCCTAAAAGGAAACAAACCGCAGACTAGCGTAAGATTTAGTTCGGTTGTAAATTTCTTACTAAACCCACTTGAAACTTTAATGAAAAGTCAGAATTCATTTGTGTATTTCGTAGCAAATACCGACTCGACTAGAATTACTAGTTTTTGAATTATGGTTAACATTTCTCAAGAAACTTCGGCGCCGCTTGCCATTTAGCTAATGCCAAACTATTTGCTAAACAAACATTACTCAAGGAGGATTTCTTTTCGCAATGTTTGCTTGTCTGTCAATCGTTGTACGGTCAACTCTGACCCATTGATCGCGATCGTGACCGATGACGAACAATGAACAAGTTACAGCATAGAAAATTGACCAGAAACCATCTGGTCGCGCACACTTTTGACCTTACGGCTATACAATGTCAATTTGCAAGTGATTTGTTGGAACGACTAAAAGTCTATGTTAGTTGATTGCTAGCAAATGTAACTTCTAATGTTTTTGAAAAGTGTAAAAACATTAAAACCTTGTTCAACAGAAACTTAATATATGTACATTAATCTATACATAACTTTAAGTGACAGTCGTACAGATAACAGAACTGAACTATTAGGAAAATAGTACCAAATAGTGATTCAAATAGTCATAGATATTTATTAACGATCGTAGTCTTTTAGATAATAGCTACTCTGATTACTCTAATTAACTCATTTGAGATAAACAATTGCACAACTTAATTTTTAGTTGCTCAATACGAAAATATTAGTGAAGGTATATGGAAATTAATAGATAATTAAGTAGATGATTAAGCCAAAAAAAATTATCAAGAGAAAGACGAAAAGAGGGAAGAACTAGAAAATAATGAGACGACAGCAACAATAACAACTGAAGAAAAAACAACAAAAATTAAAATAAATCATTTATCTGTACTTGGTCTTAATTTAAAAATCAATATGATAACAGACAATTTATTTTATACTCCTCCAAACCCAGCCAAGTGCGAGTAATCATTTCAAAAATCAGAATCGCTCGTTATAATAATATGTGAGGGCATTGATCTGAAATGACAGTGGGAGGGCCAGGTTGACCTTAAAAGTTCAATACAGCAAAATTCTTCGATCAAAACTGCAACGTTCATTCATGTTCGCTTTTGTTACTTGAATCTCGTAATGATCGTGCAGATTGTCAAGTATTTTTGCGGATAAAGAACTTTCAATTCGTTTCAATTTCTTTTCATATACCGCTATAATATGATTTTAATTATACAGCATGTTGGCTTCGTTTTGTATGACTCCTGCACACTTGTCAGTTTCAATCACCAAAGCACCAATTCCAAAAGATGGTTCTTCAAATCCTCAATTTGCAGCTGGTTTTGGTTTGACATTAAGTTCTTAGGTTATAGTATCTGATTAATTACGTCTAGTCGCAACTAATACACCAATTTTATAATACCTACTATAATTTCTTAGAATTTACAATCCTCGCTTTATTGATCTCCCGCCATAGTACAGCTAGATCAATCATATGTCTTGAAATAATATTGCACTAACGTTTTGCAAGTGCATTATTATTACAATTTAGTCACGAATCTCCACTGACTCCAAACTACGCTTTTAATATCAAGGCTTTAAGAACCGTACCGAAATTAAGAAATGAATGCAACCCAAAAGTAGTTTAAGGTCATTGTGAATTCTACTTTGAGTGTTTCTTACAAGTTTTTTATTTAAAAAATTGCCATTATGATTTTGATGATGGAAATTATTCCGTTCTTAGTTTTTGGCTAAACGATAGTGTTCTTAACGTCTTAGTTTAATGTCGCAATATAAAAGTGATTTTCATTATCTTCTTCATTAGATAGTAATGTAATCATTGACTAATACTTCAATTTAAAGCATTTTGCGGTTAAATGTATTATGATGGGTTATATTATGAATCGAATGCATTCCTCAAATCGTATTATTAGCATTCTGTAACAGGTACCTAAATTCCTAAATAATTTATTCTTACAGCATTCCTCTCACTCTTAGCACTTTATGATCCAAACATTCGTGTCATAGCAACTAAAGGCTCTAATCACTCGCCGATTGTACACACAATTATACAGCAGTGTCCTTATTTGCTGCCTACAGCGGCCTGCGTTTGCGCAGTGTCGAAACCTCACCTGACACTTGCTGTTGGCCAACCCAGCTGTCTGTCTAGCATGATTTTACGACAAAAATTATCAACATCATATTAATATTCAAAGTAATAATACATTGCATATTATTTAAACGAAAATAATAATATTTCCAATTTCGTATTAACTGCCTAAGATTTAGCCTAAATTGTCCAAAAAGTACATAATAGTTGTATCATCTTCAAAGAAATTCCCATTAGTTTTACATAACCAACATTTCTCCCATCATCTTTCTGCGATAGTAATTGTTTTGGACACTTTAATTGTACTGAGATCACGATCCGCGTGACGTTCAACGATCTTATGTACACGACACACACTAACGCATGTAACGAAAGTGAAAACGGATAGCTAAGAATCTAAACAAAGAGATGAACTTCATTTTATTTTGCTAAATTGTTTATTGTGTCATCCACTGCTACTTTCTTCCACTTCGGAGGTCATATCTATTTTTTATCACTTTTTACAGTTCATTGATATTAATAATTTATAGCTTAAAAACTATCAACGACAATTTCTTTTGCAATTTTAAAATGCTCATTCTCGTTTTTATCTAATACAATATTAGCAGTTTCCATATCTGTTTAATCAATCTTATTTACTTCATCTTGCATTGTTGATTTGCGTGTAACAACCTCTTACATGCCAATTTCATAACAGTTATCGAACGATCCATAGTAACAATAACTGCGATACGTAACATTTATTTAACAACATACATCGATGAAGCTTCGTTAATTTTAGATTACTATCGCAATCACAACCTTATAAGATATACAAAGAAGCCACCATGATTCAATACTGCGACAAGTATTGTGAAATTTAGAAAATACTGTCAAATCTAATGAGTTTTATTAGCCAAATCCAAAAAAAGCATGGACATGCCTCCGGAATTTTGATGAATAATAAGACTGGTAACGTGTCATGGGTCAATATTTGACATTTAAATAAGGTGGTCTAATAGAGTAATGATGTAATGTCTTTGGTCGAGCTCGTCTTACGAAAGCATACAGTTGTCACTTTGTATGTTTGATATTTAGCTGCGTGCAATATAATTGCGCCTTAGAAAGGTCGCGGCTGTAATTGAAGACTAGATTGTCGTGCG